AGGTCACTCCCTCCTGGCTGCTTTAACACTTTTAAATTAAAAGAAGAAAAAACACCCCAAGGAGAACTCGCCTTATTCTACCATACCATAACATGTTTTCGTTGCCGTCGTTTGGCTTTGGGGCGACTCCCCACCGCATGGCAGGTCCGAGGCCTGGGTCTTGTCTGCCCTGGGTCTCAGCGGTGCCTCAGCGGGGCGAGCGGCTGGTCGCGTTTGATCAATGAGCAGGGATCACACGTGACAATGGTTGGAAGGGGGAAGGGCGGGCAGGGCGACCTCACAGAGCTGGGCTGCGGCCCTAGCCGAGTGACCAGGGCGGCCCTTCCCGAAGCGGGGCGTCCGAGGGCGAGGGAGCCCGGCTCAGCCAGAGCTCCCGGGGGGCAGGAGCCAGGGGAGGCCCCGAGGTGGGAGAGCCGAGCGAGTGAGTGGCTTCAGCAGACCCACCTGGTGATGAGATGAGCCACTGTGCCCGAAGGGCCAGCGCACAGTGAGGGCTCAGAAAGGCCGGCTGGTGTCATTATTGCCCTCCCGCGGGCACACGGCCAGGGTCGCCCGCTTGGGAACAGCAGTAATAGAGGAACAACATTCTCCCCCCCGACCACGCGAGCGACTCACGGCATCGAGCCTTGGTTACAGCTTGACTGAGGTATAAGCGACAGACAAGCCACACACATGCAAAGCATACGTCCTGATGAGTGTTGACACGGGCACACACTCCACGTGTATCCATGCCACCCAGCAGCTTCCACGTGCTTTGAGCCGCTTCTATTAAAAGTTAATTCTCCTGGTGTTTCTGTGTCCCAGTCTCTAACTTGGGTGGCGATCTTTAAAACCAAGAAGTAAAAAAAAAACAAAACAAAAAACCTCCTTGCCCTGGCCAGTGTGGCTCAGTTGGAGTTTCATCCCATACCCCAAAAGTCTGCAGGTTCGATCCTTGGTGGGGACGCTTATGGGAGACAACCTGTGGATATTTCTCCCTTACATTGATGTTTCTCCCTCTCTCTCTCTCCTCCTTTCTCTCTCTCCAAAATCAATAAAATGTATCCTCGTGTGGATTAAAAATAATAAAAACAATAAATAAAAAATATGAAAACCTCCAATCCTCAGGATTCCATGAGACGTTTTATTTTTCTTTTGTGTAAAGCCAATTAGGAAACACATTACCTTTCTCTCTACAGTCACCTTTCTTTTGATCAAATGTTCCCTCAAAAAAAGAAGAGTCTTTTTGATCCTACAACACGGCTGGTGTCACTGGGTTTGGCCTGATTGGTGACCTGAGTGCAGAGGAACCGACATTCACCACAGAGTTTGCTCTGACACAGGTTTTTCTGTGAAACCTCAGGTGGGAGTTTTAACAGCCTCTGGAGGTCAGGAAGCCCCCCCCTCACGCCTCACCCGCAGGCTCTGCAGCTTTGGGCGATGACCTTTCCTCCAGGAGATTCCAAAAGACCCATCAGGTCAAACTCAGCTCCATGAAGGGCGAGGTCATTTCTAATTCTCAGGGCATCAGCCTGAACTGGGACACTGAGCCAAAGCCTTGGTTATATTACCAACGTTTCCAATTATGTCTTATTAACAAGGACAGGGTGGTACTGAACTTATGCAAATAAGTCTATTGCCATAAACATGAGAATACTCGAAAAGGCTTTAGTAATTTTTGGAGAAATCAAACAAGGAGACAGAGTCAGTGTTGAACTCGCATGGGTGCTCTTTCCCATTGCCCACAGCAGTGTCCCGGTGCCCGCCACACGTCTCCCTGGAGGAGGGACAGAGCTTGGATTCCGGGAGCTTATCGCCTGCTCCCACCGGTCATCACATGACCACTCCATCCTGTGGAGCACCCGGTGTCACCTCCACTGTGGAGATGGTGCAAATGAGACCAACCAGGAGTGGGGGCTGGTGTGGAATGTGACCTTAAGTCAACAATAACGACGACGGCAGCTCGCATTTTTTAGGGTTTATTGACTCAATGCAAGTTTTCTAAGCGCTTTCCGCCACCACCACCAATCGATTTCAATAGGTGCAAAATTTTTTTCCAGTGTGAGGACACAGAGGAGCGGAGGAGGGTCACTGGGACCTCACATCCAGCTCGACGGGCGCACTTTCAGCGGAACTGATGGGGTTGGAGACTTTACACTGATAACCCCCGGCATCCTCCTGCTGGACGGGGTCTATGGTGAGGGTTCTGTGGTCCTGGGACAGCGTCATCCTGTCCTTGAGCTGCAGATTCTCCGCATTGAACAGCCACTGAGTGGAGATGGCGTTTGTGTAGCAGGTCATGACCACGGCGTCCTTGTGCTCTGTGACTGTCGTGTTGCTGGCCAGGAGGGTGGGCACTCTCACGTGCTCTGCGGGGAAACAGGACATGAATAATTGAATGAGGGCTTGGGACCTGGGCCCACACAGCTTCCTCAAACATCTCAGTCACTAACAGTCCACAGTGAGCTCTGTAAAGGTCACCAGAGGGTGGCCCTGACCTCTTCAGAAGGAGAATTGTCTTTGTTCAGGTGACAATGTGTTAGGAGAGGGCTGCACCTCCTCTCTGATCCTAGATCACCCCAGAGTGACCCCTGACCTGTTCACACAGGCATCTTTGTAATCTCAGCACAGGGAACCCCTCCCTTCCCGGCCCACATGAGTTATAACATTTACAACAGCATCAGAAATAATGTAATACTTAAACTTAACCAAGGAGGTGAAAGAGATGTACACTGAAAACAACCAGATGTTACTGAACGTAAAAAGGAAACAAATAAATGGAAAGACATCCACGTTTATGCATTGAAAGACCCCCCAACTATCTGCGTATATGACATAATCCCTATTAAAAGGCCTATGACTTTTAATAGAATTCATATGGAATTTCAGTGAAACCCCAAATAATTGCAACGATCTTACAAAAGAAGAATGAAATTGCAGGTCTCACACTTCCTAATTTCAAATCTTACTATAGAACTAAAGTAAAGAAAATAGTGTGACAATGGCATAAAAACTTCTATTCATCAAAAGACACAATCAAATGGTTTGGACAAAGGAGCCAAGACTGTTCAATGAGAAAGGACGGTCTTCACACAAATGGTGTTGAACAGCCACATCCACACGCAGACACATGGAGTGGACCCTTGTTTGTACCACGCACAACAATTGACTTAAAATACATCGAATCCTAAAGGTGAGACCTAAAACTATAAAACTCTTAGAAGAAAATATAGGGGAGAGCATTGTGACATTGGACTTGGCAATGACTTTTTTTAATATGACACCAAGAACACAATCGAAAAAAGGAAAAATTAGATAAATTGAATTTTCTCGAAATGAAAAACTTACATTCATCAAAAATCACAATCAACAGAGTGAAAGATTAGCTATGGAATGAGAGAAAATACTTTGCAAATTGCACTTAGGTGAGGGTTTAATATCCTGAATATACAAAGATCTTGGACAGCTCCACAGCAAAACCAGAAAACCTGATTTAAAACGGGTAAAGCACTTGAATAGACATTTCTCCAAAAATGATACAAAAATGTCCAAAAAGTACATGACAGGATGCTCAACATCGCTATCGCTAGGAAAATGCAAATCAAAGCTCTCGGGGTCGGGGCTGTTGGCTGCGACGCGGGGGGTGGGTAAGTCCATGCGCAGGTAACGCAGACAGCACTCCCCGCGTGGTACCTGCGAGGCTCCCCAGGGCTTCTGCGATCAGAGCCGGACCTCTCAGCTCTCAGCCAGCTCCAGCCCTTAGAAGAATTAGGCAGGTCTGTGCACCACACGGCAAACGCACAGGGGTCTGAGCACTCAGGGGACGCGAGGCCTCCAGCTCTCTGTCTGCTGCAAGGTACAAACTTTCTCGGGTGTCAGCTAAGAATCAGGGTTTGATCATGAAAACCTTGGGCTGGGGGTCAGAGACCACCCTGCACTTCTTCTGAGTCTTCGCTGACCCGAAGACTCCCTGGCTGGCCAGGGGCCGTTCCTTTAAACTTCACAGACCTCCATTGCCGAGCCGAAGTGTGTTTCTACGAAGTGTGTTTCCATTCTTTTAGAATGTCCTTGAGATTGGGGTTGGAGCAGAAATAACACATGGGGGCCAAGAGCAAGCTGATGGTCAACTGACTATTCAGGCCACTGGGCCAAGCCCTGAGACTTCCCAGGGGAGTGTGACTGACATGAGCCAGTGAGCTAATAAATGATAAAGCAGAGCCCAAGGAATGAGCTAGAAAAGAGTGCAGGGGACAGGCAGGGGCTGACTGTGGCCGCAGAACCATGTGCTCAGCCCTTGGTCATTAAAGCCACTCTCCCTCTGCTGAAGAAGGGGTGAGGTGGCAAGAGGGGAGCATGGACTTGCTGAAATTTGACCCTTGTAGACCACTTGTGTTTGCTGGTTATGAGACAGCAATTTGGAAAGAAGTTAAAATTATTGCATATGTGAAAATTATTATTAATATTCCAGGGCCTAAAACCATCTACATGAATGACTTTCTCTAGAGAGCAGCAGTGGGTCTGAGACATGGGTTTCAGCCCCTGCAAAGACAGGGAGCTTGTCCTGTATGGCCAGAGTTTTAAAGACTCTGCATCCAGCCTGGCCAGTGTTGCTCAGTGGTTGAGCATCAACCTGTGATCCAAGAGATCAAGGTTCAATTCCCGGTCGGGGCACACGCCCAGGTTGCGGGCTTGATCCCCAGTCGGGGACGTGCAGGAGGCAGCCGATCAATGACTCTCTCATCACTGATGTTCCCATCTCTCTCTCCATTCCTCTCCACCCCTCTCCATTCCTCTCTGAAATCAATAAAAACATAAAAATTTTTTAAAAAGACTCTGCATGCAGGTGAAGGACCAGGCTCCATTCCCGCCAAGATGTGGCTCTTAAGACTGAGCCCTGGCCAGAGACCAGCTCAGGAGCCTTGTGACTCCAGCACACGGGAAACTATTGCTCTCACTAAGCCCTTCCAAAGAAGCCAAAGCCAACCTGTCACAGGCTCCCAGGATCCCTGGAGTCAGGACACTAGGACAGGGCTCTGCGAGGTGGCTGCCTGAGCTGAGCTTCTCTGGGAGGATCCCCTGCAGGGTCTTTCTCAGGGTCATGGTCATGGGGAGGGGCCCAGGGGTGAACTGAGACTGGTCTCCCTCTGCTGAGTTATTCCCATGAGACTGGCCCTCTCTAAGGTGGTGAATGTCTGCAGGGCTGGCATCCGGGAAGGGAGCTCTGATCTCAGGAAGTTTGTGTCCACTGTGTGTGACCTGCACTAAAGGCCCAAACCCAGCCTGGGACGTGATGCAGAGGGAGACGGAGGAGAGTCCAGGGCAGTCAGTCCCGTGTATGGAGTAGAATTCCCCCCACCGACACCCAGAGGCCGAGAGCAGTCACTCACCGTACACATCGAGGCGCCCAAACCCTATCTCTCGCTGGGAATTCTGAAGGNATGGAGTAGAATTCCCCCCACCGACACCCAGAGGCCGAGAGCAGCCACTCACCGTACACATCGAGGCGCCCACACCCCATCTCTCGCTGTGAATTCTGAAGCTGGGCTATTACGGTGTAGACTCCCGTGTCCTGCAGGGTGACCTTTCTTATGATCAGGGCTCCTTCAAGGTTTGCTGTCTCTCGGCCGGTGTATTCGGGCCCTGTCCTGTATCGCCTTACACGCCATGCAACAGATGCAATGAAATTATTGTAGTCCACCTTCTCCCCCCTGTACCAAAGAAAGCCTGCGACATGGGGGGGCTTGTTGCGGATTCGGAGAATCACGTCCTCTCCCTCGGCCGCGCTGATCGGCACGACACTGAGCTGGGCGGCGGCGGGCGCGCTCCAGAGGGTCAAGAGTGAGGCTAGGAGGGACGAGAAATGGGTCAATATTTGGGTCTGTGTGTTGGGATGGAGAGAGGAGGCCCTGGGTCCTGAGCAGGTCTCATCTCNATGGGTCAATATTTGGGTCTGTGTGTTGGGATGGAGAGAGGAGGCCCTGGATCCTGAGCAGGTCTCATCTCTCAGCCTTCGTGTGTGTGTGTGTGTGTGTGTGTGTGTGTGTGTGTGTGTCCCCCATGGTCAAGGTCAGCAGCGTGGCCACCATGACTTCAGCTCCTCTGAACCTGCAATTTCCTCTGTTCTGAACACTCTCTCCAGGTGTCTGCCTGGCTCACCCCCTCACTGTCCTCAGGCCCCTGCTGACTCCCAGGGGTGTCCTTGGGAGACACCTTCCCTGACCACCTCCTCTAAAGACCTTTTGCCTTTACTTTCTGACCTGTCCCTACTCTGTTCCCTTCACGACATCTACTTCATGGCACAAGTAGATCTTTTCTTGTCTATTTTCTCCCCACAGAAGGTGAGCTCCATGTGGGCAGTGCCCCCAGTGCCTAGAGCACACTGCAAGCATCTGGGGGTGAAGGAGTGAGTGTTCCCAGGGTTGTCCACCTCCTGGGGCGTATCTGCCCATTTCTGAAGTTGGTGGTGAGGACAATGTTTAGCATCCCTGCTTAAAATTTTTCTGGTGTCACCTGACATAAATTGTTATTGTTGGGGTCAGTCGTGAAAATTCAGNTGCTTAAAATTTTTCTGGTGTCACCTGACATAAATTGTTATTATTGGGGTCAGTCGTGAAAATTCAATGCTCAGTGGTGAATAACTTAGGAAATGAGCAGCGATCAGGGTTTTCGGCCCCTCTCCATGTCCCGATCTTGGGATGTTTCTGTTGCTGAGCCCCCTTCCCCATCCTACTGTGCTCTCCTGTCCTCTCCCCTCAGGCCCAAAGAGAAGCCTTTCCTCCCTTCTCAGAGCAGTTTTCTCCAGGAGACTTAGCCAGTCCCTGTCTCCCATCCTTCCATCCACCCCCAGGAATTGTCCCCTCCTTACCAGCCAGCAGGAGCCATTGCCAGGAAAGAAGTGCTCTGCAGGGAGGGGCTGAGGGGGACCCCATGGTGGCTGCGGCCTGCTCTGTCCGTCTTTCTGTGAGAAGACCTTGAGGTCCAGTAAGGCTCCCAGGCACCTCTGTCCTCACAGGGGGATCTGCTGTCCCGGCTCCCTGTGTGCTGAGCCTCCTGTGGGCCAAGATAACTTCCCTGGTCATGTGGGTCAGGGCGGGGTCAGTGCCCAGGGACCTCCCCCTCCCTCCCCTCATTCCTGCAACCCCTGTCCCCTCCTTCCAGTTAACCATCCCTCTATGTTTCCATTACCTGGGAACAGCTGAGGCATCTGAACACACTCACACACACACTCACACTCACACATTCATATGCTGTGTTTGGAAAAGCACCAGCCTGGGGGTATAGGTCCCCGCATCCCCACAGCTCCCAGTCAGGTGCACAGTAGCCCCCCCAACCCTCTCTCTTTCTCACATTTGACTTTCCCTTCAGAGCAGGAGTTCTGGGGCTACCTCAGGAACTCTTGTCTCAGGGGTGCCACATCCAGTCTGCATTGGAATCACCTGTGAAACTTTGTAAAGATCACAATGCCCAGGTGACATTTCAGAAATGCTGCATCCACAACTGCTCAGCTAACCTGGAGGCCTGGCCGGGCTGAGATCCCGCGATGTGGGGATGGGGCACCCCCTTCCCCTCTCCTGTGCA